GAAAATCAGATTGACATGGAATTGGAGATTAGTGTGGAGAAAGATATGCGGTCACAGCTCACTGCAGTCAGTCTTATCTGAGAGGTTTAATATCCTACTGGTATTTCACAATATATGGCACTTGTTCTGATACTAATGCATCAGAAAGGTTAGTATTTTCCATCATTAGTTTCAGTAGAAATTAAAATAGGTGTTATTCAAATGTTTGAGTCAAAGGTGTTTTACAAAAAAATACTTTTCTCATGCACTGTAATACAATAATTGTGAATAAAGAATTTCTCTCAGTCTTGAGGCTACTTAGGTAGGATGTGGAAGATGAGAACAAGCTAAGGTATACACTGGGGTGTAAAACTTTTGAATAGAAGCAAACTTATTTGAGAGGAGGAAGCAAAGAGCATGGGGAAATAGTGATATGCATGTAGCGGTTTAAAGCAGATGGGGAAAGGCAGAACACATTAGGTAAAGTGCTGGAAATGACCTTCTGTAGTTGACTGAAACAGACATCTACAAAATCTCGAGCAGAACAATTGAGTGCAATATGTAGACTGTAAACTGGCTCTGGCTGGCATAGTGAAAATGCAGTGAAATAGAAATCTGAGCTGGAAGATGAGCATCAAAGAACGTGTGTTGTTCCTAGAAAATAGTAAAGTCAGCTTGATGGGGAAGCACTTGTTATTATTATGATCAGCTAAAGAAACAGGCGTGGTACGTGTAAAATACATTCTTTTTGAATGAAAATTCCTGGTGGAGGAGGTAATACAATAGCAATACAGCAGAGTATGATTTGAAGCTGCAAGTCCTTCATGCAGGATTTCTTAAATCAAAATGATGTTTATTTTGGTAGTAAATTAAAACGCTGTAAGAATTGTAATATGAAGTTACCTTGAACTGAACAGTCACAAACTGGATTTACCTTATGTAAATGTTGGTCTAGAGCTCATTTGCTTTTCAAACTGAAGGTTTTATAAACTAAGGAAAAATTCTTGACAGTGAAGATGTTCAAACGCTGGAACAGGTTGTCTAGAGCAGTCTTGCAATTTCCATTCATGGACATGCTCGGAACCTGACTGGACAAAGCCCTGAGAAGCCTAATGTAACTTTGAAATTAGCTGTGCTTTGAGCACTGAGTTAGAACAGATGATCTCCAAATCTTTGTTTCAACCTAAATTGTTCTGTGATTTTTAGCTCCACTTAGTTAATAAAGCCAGTTGGACTGAGTATCTTTTCATATGAAGAGAAATGGAATTCCTTGAACTCAAAGATGCTGATAAAGATATTAGAATTTATTTTGGGGAAGAGAATAATTGATCTACAAAGAAAACTGGCTAAGTTACCATGTCAATGAGTTAGCTTCTCTGCCTGCTGTGCTGCAGTACCTGTTTGCACGTCCTTAGCCCATAGAACATACAGAGTAATTTGGTTCAACTTTTTCCGACTGTGTTGGGGGATTAACTAAACTGAATTACTTTCTTTGTTGTTGTGAAGAACACGCATGTGGTTTGTTACCATAGCTCAACTGACGTACTGTATTTCATTGTTGCTCTAATAACTTGCTCACATGTCTAAATCTTTTGGAGTCTTATTTATTGGGACTAAGTGGAAATACTTGATGTGGTGCAATATGGAAAATTATTAAGTTAAGTTAGAGATTAGTAAAAAAATTGTAGAGAAGGAGCTGGTAGAATCGGCTGGTAGAATTAGAAGAATGATTATCAAATAGGAATAATTGCAGTGGAGTTCCCTAGGGATCAGTTCTGAGTCTTACTTAGTATTTATATTAGTATGGCATGTCATGATATTTGATGCAAGGAAAATATTGTCAGTACACAGGTAACTTTACAAGAAGCTGCTCTGAGGAAGCTATACTGTTTGGAAAGAAAGCACTGTCTGGAGCAGTGCGGGTAGCACAGCTGAAACTTCGTCTGAAATGATACATATGGTTCTTGCCATCTGTAATCAAGAAAGAATAGGTAACACTAGGATAGGTGCACAGATGAACTGCAAGAACAGTGGAATAGGAAGTCTGGCAAAATAATCTAGGAGGAGGTAAGTTCATCTCAGCAAATATGATCAGGCACTAATCACCAATGATAAAAACTCTTGTAACTTAAATTTAGAAGGCACAAAAATCTTTTTATGTAAACTGATTACATGAAAATGTCTGGTCATCTTAATGTTAAAAGGTTTTCAGTAAGACCATGGGGAAAAAAGGAGTGTCATAAATTTAGAAAAGATGTCACTGTGAATTTCTGTAACATAATGTAACATGACTTCTGGAAAGGAAGAAGCAGTCAATTCTAGAACATTCTTCTTGCAGTCTTGCAAACTCGATCACTAGCTCTGCATGATGTTGCAGAAGCGAGGGGAACAGGTTTGCTAAAATAAACATGGTGATAGAACTGTATTAGCCTTGGAAGTGAAATGACTGAGGCTGTTAACTCTATGCCATGATAAGGAATTTCAGTACAAAAATAGCACAGAAGAAATGAATCTGTCTGTACCAGAATCTTGTTAATGGTCCTGCTGATAATGATCATAATCTCTTCACAATATTAAATACTGAAAACTGTCAGGTAGCTTTAATTATAGATATTCTGAGAACAAAAGCATTTTCTTTGATAAACTGACTGGTACTGTTACTTCATAGTGTGTTGTAAGCACTATATCTGTTTTGTAAGAGTAACTTAAGCACGGTTTCGTGAAACTTGGAAGAGCCAAGTTAATGCTTCCTGGACAGGTCCCTGGTCTTTCTTGTCCTCGCATTTTTTCCCTGTTTCCCTATGTATAATTTTTGTGGGTTCTGGCACTCAGCGGACTTGTTTTGTAAGCTCCAATATTTCTAACATTCCTACCATGTTAGAAAACGAGCCCAGCAAAAAAAATTCTCATTGTTTTCTGCTAGATTAATGAGTTAAATCAGTGCAGTAAATAGCTTGACAAGTAGCAGAATTATCACCAGGGATGGAATAGGATGGCAAAGCCAGGTTTGGTATATGGGAGGAGGGAAGAATAAGAGTGGGGATAGTGTGGAGCAAGATTTTCCTGTTGGCAGTGGTGGACTGTTGATGTGTTCAACTGCAGTCTGAGTTAAACAGTCTGCTGTTGATTTTCTCAATTTAGTGTGTTTTTAGTAGATACATATGATAGTGATAATTACCTCAGAATTTGTGAATATTTTACACTTCTGTACTGTTAGTTGTGTAGATAATGCAGCCTAATTTTATAGACTGTCATTTACTTTTACAATCATAAAATGGTCTTCCCGAATTCTCTGGTGAAGGCCAATTTTTCAGCTTAAACTGACAGAACCGAGAATCTTCCTATGTACATCAGGTAGGAGGAATTGTTTCAAGCAGTGGTGGGAGCTACACCAAAGTGTCTTACATATTTTCCTTCTACTATTATGCTAAGGAATTGAAAATAAAATGAAACATAATTATGACTACAACTCACAACTGACTTAAATTTGGATGGAATGCAAGTGGTCTCTTAAGCAATCGGGGCCTACAATTGGAAGAAAGTGCAGTGCAGTCATGGAAGTCCAAGAGCAATAAAATTTTCTCTGTTTCTGCTGTAAGAATGTTTTTTTAAATATATTGAAGTTAAAAAATTCTGCTGTAATTAAAATGACAAAATCAGTTTTCCTAAAAATAAATAAATAAAAATTACTAAACACAAGGGAGTTATGGAAATGTATTTTGCGAAAATAATAGTATGTATAGTTAAAAGGTGCTTTGTTTCTGGTATTTATGTCAGAGATAATATTGTATACTTTTGGAAAAAATACTATAACTTGTTCCTTTTGGTTTTGAGCATAACCATGCTGTAATTCCATTGCACTGAGTGCCACTGAGTATTTTTGCTTCAAATGAGATTTCATTTTTCTATTTTATTCTGAAAAATAGGGGATACTACCTCCTTGATAGGCATGGAGTTGATACTGAATTATCTCTTAATAGTGCTATGGACATGTGAAACCCTATAGAGATTCTTTTTGTTATTGAACAACAGTGCAGGAAGTGTACTAAAAAATTCAGTATAATCACTCAATCCCCTCTTCATATCATTGTCCCAGTTAGTGATACTTTGCCCAGTTCGCTTTATTTGTTTAAAAATCAAGATAACTATTCTGAGCTTCTAATCATAATGCACAGTTATACATGAATATAGGACAACATAATGCAGTTACACATCAATATAGGACAATAATACTCATTTCTGTTCAAATAAGTAAACCTTTGAAGCCATCATTTTTTGTTTCCACTGTTAAAATTTACTCATTCTTACTAAATAGCCACATATTAATGTCGTACCTGCGAATTTTAGAGAGGCAGATTAGTCTCAGCATGCACCTGGAAGATTGCCAGAGCTCTGGTAGCAGTTGTCTTGGTTGATCTGTCTGTTCTTTTGATGCTTCATGTTGTGAGGCAGTGGACTTCTGTATGAGCAAGTGGGGCCAGCTTTTGTAATTCTAAACTTTTGTGGGAGAAGTCCTGTATCGGAGGTGTGTATTTAAAGTGTCTCTGCCTTAAATGTAGGAGTTCTGCGCTAATTTTCATGGAAGTCTTTAAAATCTGATTACTTCAATATGGTTTATTGAAAAACTTCATGCAAGTGCAGGTCAGTAATGAGCTCACAGAAAACTAGTATTTCAGTAGTATGTCAGTTTCATTGAAGAACTACTAAAGCATTTAAAAACTTGTAGGCCATGAAGAGATCACAGTTTAACACTTATGTATTATTTTGAATGAAAGACTTGTGTTCTACTGCTTGAAAAAAACCCAACACAAGCACCCCCCCTTGCTAAGAAGGTCATCACTGCATGATATGTGTGCATCCACAGAAACTTCAAAATGATACAGCCTTTTTAATGGGGGTGGAAGAGAGGTAATAAAAGTCATTAAAGTGTATGCATAGATAGATGGCTGCTGCAGGTCTGTTTGTAGAACAGACAATATTCATCAAATCTGGGATTTTGAAATGTGTAGGCATCAGCTTAGTATGTGGGATTAATTAATTATTTCCTTGCTGTCTGTTTCCAATATAGCCAGCAGCCAGCTTCGGGTGTAGCCTATTCCCATCCAACTACAGTTGCTAGCTACACTGTCCACCAGGCACCGGTCGCTGCGCACACCGTTACTGCAGCCTATGCTCCAGCAGCAGCTACAGTTGCAGTAGCCAGGCCTGCTCCAGTCGCTGTTGCAGCTGCTGCAACAGCTGCTGCATATGGAGGCTATCCTACAGCGCACACAGCTACAGATTATGGTTATACGCAGAGGCAACAAGAAGCTCCACCACCACCACCTCCTGTCACTACGCAGAATTACCAGGTGAGTTCCAAAAGAAATTACTTCTGTTGTATGATTTTTAAATGAGGAGGAGACCTCTTTGGATAAAGGAATGTGATGATAATTCATATTTTTTCTTCTATGAATCACAGCTTGAGTACAACTCAAATTACTTAGTAGCAAAAACTGGTAGTCTGTGAAGTTACTGCAGTCTCATATGGCCCATATAGAGGAATGTCAGTGCTAGTACTGCAGGAGCTAAGATTTAGACATTCATACACTAAGCGGTGAACTGATGTTTACCTCCAAGTGATTTTGTGAAACTGCTGAAAAGAGTAGTACTGTCTTTTCTCCGCTAGCTTAAATGTTCAAGTGATGTGCAGTAAACTGGGTCATGGAGATGATGTAGCTGAAAAAACTGTTCCAATAATAATGTTCAGGGGAGGCAGAAGTAGTTCCCTTGTCAGATTCCTGGGTGCTGCAGGAGTTCTAGTACGAAACCTACGAGGACAGAAGATTGCTCTTCGGGTAGTTTCTGGGTACCCTTTGTGAGATCACTGCCTAACCTCCTGTGGCTACATGCTTCTACAAAAGGGAACTGTTTCTCCATTTCCATCTTGGATGTTGAAATAGTATGTCTCTTGTAGTAATTTTTTAACTTATCAGTCCTAAGCTTATCAAGGTATTATCTAGATTCTGACTGGTATTTTGATTTATTTAAAAGGGACTATACTATTGCTACATGTTCTCAATTCTTTTGTACAGCTTTTATGATTTGTTTCCTATGGTAATGAATCATAACTTAGGAGGCTTTCCAGTGGCACGAGTACTCATAATTACGAGGTCAGTTATTAGATGCATTGGAACAGAAAAGAGAGTCCCCTAAACTAAACAAAAATAAAAACTGGGAATATTTTGGATGGAAAAGAGATTTTATTGTTACATTTCTTGGAAATAAAAAGAATTTTTATACGTTAGTGCATTTCAGCTGTAGTAGTTCATGCCTTGCTGCCCCTCAGTAGATCAGTTCTTTACACTTTACCATAAATATGGTTAGGATGAGAAAATACATGTACATACATATAGTGGCTTCCAGGCCCTCCCCTTCTCAGCTTGCTAGCCATCTCCTGAGTTCCAGAGGTGTTGAATGGGCTACTTGCCTTGCCATTTTAGACTAGATATGGTTCCCTAATGGACTAGTTGAAACACCAAAAAAGTAAAAAAGGCTTTAAAAGTATCACTTTCATACTCTATAACATATAACCAAGAAAGGTATTGTTAATGATGAGGTTTTTAAAGGCAGTATAGGTTCGTGTTTGTAACCTTGTGAATTTATTGTGGTTTGTAGAAATTTACATTTTGTGGAGATCTGTGGTGGTTTTTTGCTTCATATTTTACAGAAATGTAATCTGACACAGTCATTATGAAAAACTAGTGAGAGCTTTTCAGTAACAAAAATAATTTGGTAGGGAAAGTGATTTAATAGCATGAGGTTAATTCCTGTATTAAGTCTGAAAAAGACCATCAGGGTTGATTTCAGGCCTGAAGTATCTGTAAACATAAATTTAATTTCTTTAATGCATTTATTTCTATATACGGTATCTGTAAATGTTTTTTTAAATCTACTTTAGTAGACAGAAGAAAATACGTTGTTTCTTTGACTCTCCTAATGACTTTTATTACTCTATATATACTTAAAGGAGAAATTTGCTGGTTTTTCTTTTTTGAATTTTTAGGACTCCTATTCTTATGTTCGATCTACTGCCCCAGCTGTAGCTTATGACAGCAAACAATACTATCAACAGCCAACAGCAACTGCGGCGGCTGTGGGTGGCGGCTGCCCCCCC